TCTATCATTTTGTGCTTTGTTGACCATATGCACTTTGTTTCGTTGGTGTTGCACGTGAAACTTTGATATTGAAGCATATATTGTAAATGTCTAAATTTCAAGCCTAAATTTAGCTTTTGATCTGCTCAAAAGCACTTGTGCATGTGGCTTAATATTTTCAGATAGCTACAGTGATATAGTTTCTCACTTATAATATCAGCAAGACAGATCTCTTCTGTTTGTTTCATTTTAATCAATTTCACCCTCAAGCATAAGATTTTGATGCTGTATGGACTATGGATCAGACTTTGGGTTGTAAATATAGTCAACAGGAGCACAAGAATGTTGTCGTACATGAGTGTACATACAAAACAGAGGATCAAGACTGCATACATTAGAGAGAAAGCAGGGTATCGTCTATTGAGGAAAAGATGGTTCTTGATGGTTTGACCATATGAGAAGGATGATAGAAACCTGTTAAGGAGTGAACCAGATGAAGGATAGCCATATAATTAGATGTAGGACTAGGAGACCAAGAAACATTCCAGGTAATAAAACCTTTATAAAGAACTTAGGTCTTAATGGATTTTTAAGGATTCATGATAGAGCACCACCTAGTTGGAAAAGGCTTTGGTGGTCGTTTGTAACTTTGTGTGTGTTTTTTTTTTCTTACCTCTTTCCTCTCTTTGCTTATACATTTATTTCCTTTATCTCCTTCTTCTCTATGTAACTGATGATCCCATGAAATATACAGTAGCATGGCTACTTCTCTTTATAATTTACATAGGAACTTGATCTAGTGAACCATCTGATTTATTTTATTTTATTTGTCTGAATAGGTTGTGGGATGAAAATAAGGGCTGATGATCCAGCTGCCATGAAAGATTTCATTCTTAGCGTTCAGAATACATCAAATAAGTTGAAGGCTTCATCTGGAGATGACGGTCAAAAGAAAACTAGTAAAAGAGTGAGCATGATTTCTTTTATCATAAATAGAAAAGAAAACTACTTTTTTTCCTACACACAGTTCAGCGCTGATTACTTGGTAATACTTGTAGATGGACTTCATGCTTGAAATCATATGTGACATCAAGAATAACAAAAGAAAGCCAAATGAGGACTCTGCTCATCACACTCGGATTAAGAAGTGGTTACAGAAGGTCCCAGCCTCTAATCTGTGTTTTGTGGCTTTGTCTATCGTTGAAGTTTCTTTTCCAAAGATGTTACCTGTTATGTTAATTTTTTTTTTTCCAAAACAAAATAAACCCCTTTAATTCATAAAATAGAGAAAGAATGATAAGTTACATGTAGGTTGTGGTTTGCTTAGATAATTTTTTTTTTTTTTCTGGATAGCTTACTTGGTCATCTCAGAAATGATGTTCCTGTGTCTGAGCATCCTTGCTGCCAATGCGACTGTCTGAGACCAAAATATACTTTTTTTTTAGAACTATTGAAACATATATAATTGAAGATCCAAGGTTAGGTATTATGGTTTAGTGTCTATGACTGTTGAAGCTCTTGGCTTGTTGAAAGACAGTGTTGAGTATAATTCTTATGATGTAGGTAGTTTCAGAGCAGATGATATTTTGTATTATTTTCTTAGGTGTTAAGTTTCTTCTCAAGATCAGCCTCACATTATTTTGTAAAGAGAATATTCATATCCTTGTTTACTAACATTCCAGATTTCATCTGCCTGGTTAGCTCGTCAGTTGATTTGTGCATCTTTGCTCAGCATATATGTATTTTGGAAAAGAAAGTCTTGTGATCATCATTTGAATTTCCCTGTTACTCAAAGGGCCCTATCATATATCCTTCAAATTCTCAATTTAAATTTTGTTTTCAGTTAAGAGTTGATGACATTTTGATTAGAGGGCTTAAATGGAGCAAGTTACTTGATCCTGACAAGAAGGGCCAGTGGTGGCTGTCTGGAGATGCGGCTACTTCAACAGGTAATGTTGAAGAAGTTGCCAACAGAATAGACAAAGATGTTCTTGAAACCCAAAAAATGCTTCAGCTCGCTGCTGCTCAAAAGATGAACACAGATGCCAGAAGAGCAATCTTTTGTATAATAATGAGTGGGGAGGATTACATGGATGCATTCGCAAAGCTTCTAAGATTGGAATTACCAGGCAAGCAGGTATGCTTTTATTTGCTTCGTGTTTTTTTTTTTTTTTTTTTTCAGTTTAGTAATATGTCATTTCAATTATTTACCCTCTCATCTTTTGATATACAGGATAGGGATATCATGCGTGTTCTTGTGGAGTGTTGCGTGCAAGAGAAAGTTTTTAACAAGTATTATACAGTGCTGGCTTCCAAGTTATGTGAACATGACAAAAATCACAAGTTCACTCTACAGGTGCTGAATTTTTTCGTTGTTGTAGGATTGAGATTAGAACTAGACTGTAGAATTGTGTAGTATTTGTCTCATGAGTCAAAACTTTAAAACATTATATGCTTAGGAAGTTGAACTTGAAGTACTTTATTTTACTTGATGTTATTATGACAAAATATTAATATTATAACAATTTTATTAATAACTGGTTTGATCCCATTTCTACCTCGATTGAATTGAATCACTGTACCTTTAACGAGTGGATCTGGTCTAGTTTTGAAAATATTGGTGTGCGAATCAACCTTTGTCATAGATTCTTTACCTGTGCATTTTTTTTTTGCAGTTTTGTCTGTGGGACCAGCTTAAGGAGCTGGAGTCAATGCCACTTATGAGATCAATGCACTTGGCCAAATTTGTGGCTGAAATGGTTGCCTCTTTCACTCTCTCCCTTACTGTCTTGAAGACTGTGGATCTGAATGATATCACCTTGTTGACACCAAGAAGGATCATGCATTTCCGCATTCTGTTTGAAGCCATTTTGGAGTATCCTGAAAACTTGGTATGGAACATATTCACACGTGCAGCAGTGACCCCTGAACTTGAAAGTCTTAGACAAGGCCTTGAGTTTTTCATGAAGGAGTACGTTGTGAAAACCAATAAAGACCTAACGCAAAAGTTTAAGTTAGCAAAAAAGGCCCTTAATAACGTGGAAGGAATTTTGATGTGAAAGTAAATTTTGCATTCTACCCAATTTTGTAGCTTAAATTTTTAACCATTTTTATGGCGCGTGCATATAGAGAGTAACTGTTAGTTTTAGCCGATGATTTTGATTATCATTGCCTTGATTTGTTTCTGTAAAATATTTTTGAATGAAAGTGCAGAGCACATGCTAAAGCTTGTCCAGTATACGCACTTGAGGGCAAAGTGCCAAAGCTTGAAACTGATGGTCAGGATTTGTAAACTCCTATATTATTTCTTTAGTTTTAAACTAAATTGAATGCAAGATGTTGCATAGGTGTATGAAAAACATTAAATGCTTAATTGAAATCACAGCATGTTATATAGCTAAAATACAGGACAAGTATATCCATCATCAAGAGATTTTGCCAACCTCCTTCCTCCAAAATTCCCCGAGATAGACATTGATGGCATAATATGTTAGATGTTCTAAATTCTGCCAGATGATTAATGGTAATTTTTTCACTAGTGGGTTGTGTTTATTTTTCTTTATTATGGTGACATGTAATAAAGAATGTATGAGAGAAATGAAAAATTATTATTCAAATAATTCATATAATTATATAACTTATAGTTCTTTGAAAAAATGTTTGACCTAGTTTGTTTTCAGGTTTTGAATTTTAAATATAAATTGTAAAATATAGCATATTGAATTCAAACAGTTAAATTAATTTTTAATACAATTTCAGATCAGACTCGCTTCAATTTTTCATTTTTTTTGTTTAAAAATTATGTCTTTTGGATTGTTAGTTTAGATTATAAGAACAAACCATCCAATCCATCAATGTCATTCATACCATTGTCAACATCATCGTCATTACCTTCACCTTTTATAGCAATTGCTTTTGTTGCTATTGTCATGTTTTCTCTCACTAGTTGTCATATGTTCTGATGTTATTGTCATCACAATAATTATCACGGTTGTAAAACTAACATTGCTAGTATATAATCAAAACTATCTCATAATCATTATTGTGGTCCTTCACACCCTTTCATTCCATCACATGTAATATCTATTTAAAAATTATACATGTGATGTGTAATGTGAAGATAAATAAAAATAAAAAGAAAATGGAGTAAGAAAGTGAGATGAATGTTTATCTTTATTCTTATATTGCCCAAACAACTAGTTATTTCTTTCAGTATATTTTTCATGTTTTAACTTACTTTATTCATTTAATAATTATATGTTTTAGTTTTTTTATTAAATAATTAATGTTTTTATTAAAATTATATTTATTTGATGTACTTTTTACTCTTTCTAGTTTTCGAACTTTATTTTAATTTTTATTTTATTTTCAAACTTTCAAAAACATACATTTAAATACAGATTGAACATTTAAGAAAAAATTATCGTTGAAATACGGAGAACGAGATTAAATATAAGTAACTGAAATTGGAAAAAGAGGTGCGTAAACAAATTCGTGTAACATTAAATATTACAGAAGGGTGAACCTAAATGATGTCTAAAACCATATTATCGACCAACAAAAGCAAACCCGTCAAACCCAATACTTTTAACCCGTTGTACTGTAAATACAGGGCTAACAAGATATCCAAGGACGAATGTATTAAGGCATTTAAGGATTATCCTGAGGGAAAAATGGCCTCGCTGTTCCAATAATTAAATATTTGTTTATGAAGACATATCATCAAATAGGTAAATAACTGCATTTTGAAATAGTGGATTTAGATACTCACGATTGCACAAAAATGGTAAAATTCCATATGGATAAGGATTGCGGCAAAGCCGCAGAGATACAAGAGATATTAGGAAAAACAGGAGTTGGGATAAAAGGGAGGAGGGATTGAGGGGATCAATTGCTCATGGAGCATATGCTAAAACACCTAAATATTCCACACGCAGTTATTGAAACAACCAATATAGAAAAATTCCCTTTGATGGTGAAGCAGAGCCATTGACTTGTGAGATTCTACTTTCTTATACCATTCACTTGGCAAGTTCGTTGCGGATGAGTTTTGCTGCGGCAACCATGTTTGTGAGGGCTGGTTTCACCTCTGTGTACTTACGGGTCTTGAGCCCACAGTCGGGGTTGACCCACAGGATGTTCTTCTCCAGCACTGCAAGCATCTTGTTGATTCTGTCAGCAATTTCCTCAGTTGGTGGTATTCTTGGGGAGTGGATGTCGTACACACCAGGCCCAATTCCAGCACCGTACTTCACACCTTCACGGAACACTGAGAGCAGCTTCTCATCGGAGCGAGAGTTCTCAATTGTGATAACATCCGCATCCATATTAATGATAGAGTGGATGATGTCGTTGAAGTTGGAGTAGCACATGTGAGTGTGGATCTGTCCATGTGAAAATTGATTATTACATGTAGTGAAAATTAGGATGAAAAAAATAATAATAATAAATAACCCAGTCCAACAGTACCTGAGTGGTATCCTGGACACCAACATTGGTGATTCTGAAGGAATGAACTGCCCAGTCCAAGTAGTCAGCTTGCTCTGATTTCCTCAATGGCAGACCCTCTCTCAAAGCAGCTTCATCAATTTGGATGACAGTAATGCCAGCCTTTTCAAGGTCTTCTACTTCGTCCTTGATAGCCAAAGCAATTTGATAGGTGGTCTCAGATCTGCAGATGGATTTGTACAAAATAGTTAGAAACAACAATCTGGTGAATATTGTTAATTTCTCTTGTTATTTTTACTACTCCCATGTTAATTTTCCCCACATTACAAGGGTGTGTTCCTTATACATACCTAGGCTGATCATTTCTAACAAAGGACCAGTTGAGAATAGTAACAGGGCCGGTAAGCATTCCCTTCATTGGGCGTTTGGTAAAGCTCTGAGCCAGAGATGACCAGAAGACAGTCATTGGCTTTGGGCGGCTCACATCACCATAGATGATCGGTGGCTTCACGCAACGGGATCCATAAGATTGCACCCACCCATTAACAGTGAAGGCAAAGCCTGACAACTGCTCACCAAAGTACTCAACCATATCGTTCCTCTGCAATGAAAGGCATTCACAATTAGTTGGAGGTGCAATTTTAGAGTAGATACAGAAAATCTAGCAGGAGTGGTTGTTCTTCAAAAAAAAGTGGTGCTATATCAAACAAGGCTAATGAGAAGCCATCTTCCTTCAATAGACTAGCAGACTATCATGTAGACATTATGAGATGAGAGCTGACCTCTGGCTCTCCATGAACCAAGACATCAATATCAAGCTCTTCTTGAAGTTCTACAACTTTGCGAATCTCCTCCTTAATTGACTTAACGTACTCTTCCTCGGAGATCCTGAAGAAAACAGCACAATTGTCAATAAAAGAAAGACATTATCAATGAAAACAAGGCAAAGATTAGCAGGTCTCGGCATTCTCACTTGTTAGCCTTGAACTCACGGCGTACCCTCCTCAGTTCTACAGTCTGAGGGAAGGATCCAATAGTGGTGGTTGGAAGGATTGGAAGGTTGAGCTTCTTTTGTTGAGCATCCAGTCTGGCACTGACATTTGTGGCCCGGCGATGATCTGAACCCTTCAATGCAGCAGCCTGAGAGGAAAGACAATTAGAAGCCATGAGTAAAACCAGAATAAATTTAACAACATATCCATATTGACGAAAAGAGCAGTTGAAATAAGCACTCACAGCCTTCTGAACAGCCTCATTAGTCACTCTTGGAGAGGACTTTCTTGAAGCCTGAGCTGAGGCGTTAGCAGAGAAGAAGGCCTGAAAATGAAACCATAAGATATTTTATATTGGCGTGGCGAATTATGTGATGAAACATACCTTTATTCTCATGGTTCCAAAATTAATAATCATGACGAATGTTAGATCGATGCACATATTGCCTACCACTGGCATTGCAAACTTCTACAATTCTATCTGTTTTTATTGACAGCTGCTGATGATAATATTAAAGGCACCCCATAGCTGATTTTTCTTAATTCTAATGCGTGTGATATACCTTTCTTTTCTCTGTATTCAATTCTAATGCTAGGTCCTCTCTACCAATTCCTTTTGTAATAATAACAAAATCCTGCTTGCCTATTTATAAAATGATATAATATTACTTATTTGGAGTCCATGCATTTGGTCCCACTAAAATCTGATATAATTTTTTAAAGAAAATCTTCCAATTGCATGTCGATACATTTGGTCCCACTAAATAACAGTGGATATTAATAAATAATATGTCATCAAATATCAGATGATATGGGATGAATATTACCTCATCCTTGTTGCCAGACAATGCCTTAGCCAATGCGTTAACTTCAACAATTTTTTGTGCAGCAAAAGCTAGCCATGACTTGATCTCGTCATCCAACTTGGTCTCATTTACAAGATCAACAGCGGTGTGGAGAAGGGAGGAGGAGGTAGACACAACAAGCTTATCTGCATACAGTTCAAACAATAGATACATCAAACATAGGGATGGCAAAATCGACAAAGTCCGGTGAGACAGCCCAACAGCCTGATGTAATATGATGAACAGGTTAGCCGTCAAACCCACCAACCCATTGGACAGCCTAAAGTACGTGGGCTAGCACGCAAGATGGGACAGATTAGCCTCATTAATAAATAAATAAATTTTTTATTATAATATAATTAATTATAAAAATAATATATAAAGTTAAAAATTATAAAAAAAAAAAAAATTCCCTCTCATTCACATTCATTGTAAATAACATTTTTCTTAATAACATTTTTCTTACTCAAACACTCTTTCCTACTCTCCTCTTATTATCTTCGTCCTAAGTCCCGATTATTCTTATTCTTGTCAGAAAAAATTAAAGATGTAAAAATCCCTCAATCAAAAAATAATGCAAAATTTTATCAAATAAATAAAATATAAATATTTGAATTTTTCAGTATAAAAAATATAAATTTTACAACTTTTAATGTTATTTATATATTTTTTATTATTTATTATTATTATTTTAAATTATAATTTCTTAAAATAATGTGTTAATTTATATTTTTAACTTGAAATATATATGTTGAATTATTCATAAATAAATAATTATCTTATTTTGATTTAAAAAAATAAATTAATTTTTTTAGAAATTATAACGGACTGATGCACCATCGCGTCAGCTCACCCTTTGATAAAATCGATCCAAGTTTATAGCCCTTCATAATTATAGTGACCCAACCCGTCCCATTTTCTTTTTTAGGGGCTAGATCAGCCCATTTTGACATCCCTAGTTAATTGTAAAAGTATCCCAAAATTCCTTATGAAATGCATGCGCAATAAATACCTTTGCCCACAACACCCTCAAGACCCTGTAATGTAGCGAGAGAGGCAGCAAGGTCATTAGCCCAGATGTTCCTTCCATCAACCACTCCAGCAAAGAGGTATTTTCCACTGGGAAATCCACCCTTGATCAAATCAACAGTCTTGGTTCCACGGACTAAATCAAATCCATATGCAGTGACGCCGTTCAGAGATGTGAGGGTCTTGTATGCCTCAGCAGGGACGTCAGCAAAGTAGGTCTCAATAAGAACATTCAAACCAGACAAAGCAGGTGCAAGTTCTGCATATGCATCGGTAAATGCTTGCAACTTGTGAGACTCGAGGTCCAAGACCAGGGTAGGCTCATCAAATTGAATCCATGAAGCACCAGCTGCCTTAAGGTCAGCAATAACTTCCCTGTATTTTTAGTTATATAACAAAGTTAGACAAATAACATGAATATACACAGAAAATAATAACACCCAACAAGTTAAAACTCTTACTTGTAGACAGCAAGAACTTTGGGAAGGAGGGAGAGGAGAGAAAAGGATTTCTCTACACCCTTGGCAGGCTTGGAGAGCAACAAGTATGTAACTGGGCCAACTAGGACAGGAATGGTATCCACTCCAAGCTGCAGGATAAATAAATATTCAATGATAATGTTGATAAAGACAAATATATATGCATAAGGTCAAATAAATAAATTTTATCACAATGACCCACAGAGGACAACATTCGAACACAACAACTAGCCAACAGAACAATTCCCTGTCAAGAACTTGCTTGGCCACTATAAAGCAGAAATGCAAAAACTAACAGTCATTTCTCACATTTCACCCTGATCTAAATAAATTGTCACACAAAGCAATGCTTCTCAATGATAAGATATCGCAAATGGCATTTTATGTTTTAACACATAGAAACACATACCGCCTTGGCCTCCTTGTATTCCTCAACAGCCTTGTGAGAAGCATAGGTGAAGTTCACATCAGGTCCCAATTCAGGGACAATAAAGTGACTGGATCGACACCACAACAGTTCAGTAATCAGATAATTACAACGAAATATTAATAGAACAACATTCGCAATATAAGTCAGCATCAGGAGGCTTCATCACTTACTAGTTGGTGTCGAACCACTTGGTCATCTCCATAGCAGGCACGGTAGCATTACCCCTGGCCATGGAGAAGTAGGTGTCAAAACCAATCTCACCACCGGTCCAGCCATACCTTGGTGGGACGGCACCGAGGGTGGCAGTGGCATCAAGCACCTGATCATAGTAAGAGAAAGTGTTGCTGGGGATGTACTTGATCCCAGCATCAGCCATCTGCTTCCAGATGGATGCCCTGAGATCAGCAGCCACCTTCTGCAAATCCTCGGCGCTGCTCTTGCCATCCCAGAAAGACTCGAGAGCGAACTTGAGCTCTCTCTTGGGACCCATGCGGGGGTATCCGACGATATGAGATGCCATTGTTCTGTCGCAACAGATCAAATCCCAAATCAGCCCTCACTTGTCCACTCTCCGAAACCAAAATGAATAGCACAATACACATGCAACAATACTCAAAGATCATTGCACTAATATCCTTAATAAAATAACACATTTAACAATATTCATAGATCATGGCCATAATTTATCATAAAGCACACTGCCTATTACACTCTTTCTAAGAAATTTTCTACTTAAAATTTACAAAACAAAAAAAATTATAAGAAAAAATCATTAAATAAGAAATAAAACACAGAATTTTTTGATTTATACTAAACTTCGGTCAACAACAGAAAAGCTTATGTGTGTGTGTGTGTGTTGGCTAGCATTTAGAGATCATAAAAAATGACAGTAACACGGCATCAAGGAAGACTGTAAAGCGAGATTCTCATTCCCTATACACATCATTTCAAATCCATTTCCAGAATATAAGTTTGAGCAACTTAAAGAGATGTTCAGGGTAGCAATAAAACAACACACGATTTAGTACAACAACAACTGTTTTCATATAACGAAATAGCAGATTTGGACAGAGTAACAAAAAACAGCGAAATCATAAGAAAATGGTTTCAGATCCAGTAGATCTACGCGTTACGACAAGAAATAGCAGCAGATCTAAGACCGGGACAAACATTAAAAGAAGGTGAGTATTACGTTTAAGAGCAGATCTGAGAAGGATTAGAGAAAGAAATTGAAGTGGTTGAGAGAAGAAAACAGAGTAATGAGAAACAAAAACTGAAGCAGGGAGGTTATAAACTACTGAAGAATATATAGCATAAGAGGGAGAGAAAAAGACGGTGAGACAGTCTCGTACCTTACGGGTTAGTGTAGGAGACTGGTTCTCTGTGGCTTCTTATTTAGCTTAGCTTCTATGGAGCAAGTTGAAGCCGAGAACAGAGTGCGAGGTCTAAGGAATGGTTTACGGGTTTATTTATAGGCGTTTCATGCCCAGATCTGAGTCACCCCTTTTCTATTCACATTTTTTTTTCTCACTTCTTATTAATTATTTTTTAATATTAATTAAATCAAATAAATTTTTGAAAGGAAAGCTTGTGCTGTGTTTGTTGTTGGTGATCATGAAGAATTTGTGGGTGAGAAATGGTTTTATATCAACGCGCTTTTGTGGCCATTAGCAGCTGGTGAGAAAATATGGGAAACGCCCAGATCACAGTGTAGTCCAGAAAAGCCACCAACACGCTTTTTCACATATTTTTTATTAAGCAAAATTTATTGAAAACTTTAAACAATTATAGATCTTACATCTTATTATGAACTTAAGATAGATTTTTATTGATCTCAATTAAACCAAACATTTTTAATTAGGTTTTAATAATTTCTAATTGATAATTAGTGTGTGTTAGAAACACTACCTCTTATCATATATAAATAAATAGTTAATCCATTAATACATAGTTAACTTAAGTAATAATGTAAATAAATTATTACAAAAATCCTGTAAATTTATATTATTTAATGACATAATTTATAATTCAAGAAATAATTTTTGTAATTGGTGTGTATAGCTTTTATTGTCAATAGTTTAACAAATATATTTATTTAATATTTTATTTCACAGTAAAACAAAATATAATATAGTAATTAATATTTTCAAATAGATACTCTTATTTATTAATTAGATATAAAATAGGAGTGATAATATTTTGCAAGTATTTTTCATAAATATATGTCAGATTAATTAAAAATTATAAAATTTGAACATCTCATATTTTGTTTATATTAATAACTTTTAAAATATATATCTAATTTTTTGTGAAAATTATCTTACCTGGTAATGATAGTGAAGGTCACGTGGATTCAACACATTGCCACATAAACTATTTTGATCCCCAATTCTTCTTACTAATCAAGTTGATTGAGAGAACAATGTTCTTTTATATAGTTTTTATTATTCGTTATTCAGGATTAGGTTTGAAGAAATTAGACTCGTTACTATTTAAATAATTCATTTTAGAAAAATCATTAATTTCAACCTACGTTATATTATAAAATTATATATTTTATATCAACAAATTGTCTAGAAATCAAAGTCAAATTCAAACTTTATACAAGAAATATTCATCAGTTATGCTAACAACCACTCCTTAATAGTTGATTTACTCAGGTTTTTCATTTTTGGGAACATTTAATATTTTGGGACATTGATCTACAAAATAGTTAAAATTAAATACACGGGAATATGCTGCGTACTTTATTAAAAGAAAAAGTCACATTACTCTGACATGTAAGAAAAAGTCACATTTCCTTCGTTTTTTCTTTATTTTTCCTTCATCATCCATCACCATCACCGTAGTTTTGTGATTTTGTAATTTAATAATTATTTTTATATAAAAACTAAGAAATGAATGTCCATAAGAAAAAAAATCCTTGAGATATAATTAAACTAACATTTTTAAAAAATAATATTTTGTAATATTTTATGCCATTCTTAAACTTTATTTAAGTGGTATATATCAAAATTGTAAAAAAAAAATTAATATTAAACTTTAATATTGAAAATCATGTAAAAGTTTAAGTTTCATTTGAGCTTTTTCATCTTCACGGAATCTTTATATTTGGAAAGTTTTACTATTCATCTCTTATATACATTTTTATTTTTATACCTCTCTTCTTATACACATTATTTTTAATATGTTTATTGACATAATTATTTTATAACATGATTAAAAAGATTATTTCAAAAATATAATTAATTTAAATAATTTTCCATTAAATATAAATTTATCCTTTGATATTAAATTTATTAGTAATCATATATACCATATGTTTTTAATATTTATATAATACTGAAATGGTGAACTCGTTTAAAATTACACGATTATTTATATTAAAATGTAGATAAATAATATTTTTACTATGAAATAAACTACACAGTATTTTTCGTGGCTAATAAATGGAAAGTATTTATTTTATAAAAAAAATTATATAATTAATATATTCACGTCCTCGTTTTTAAGAAAACAGGTTTGATTTAATAATTTTAGAATTTTAAATTTCAATAAGAGTGCTTATATTTTTTTCTCTCTTCCACTTTTTTTCCTTTTTTTTATTTCTTTCTCTTTCTCTTTCTTTTTAATTTTTCTTATACATAAAAAATTACTTTTTTTTTAAATCTTACATTAAATATTATGAATTACTATAATCCTTTATCTTATATTATCTTTTTATAATTTTTTTAATTTGTATTTTTTAATTATTATTTAAATATATTCATTAATTTTTTATACATTTTTTCTTTAATAATAATTTCTACTAAATAAAGGACTCTTTTATATTATCTAAAAATTTATAATTTAATATATTTTATAAAAAAATTTACAATGATAAATTTCTCGTGTATTACATTTCCCCTTAATTTATAGAAATTTCGTCTTCAAAATTTTATTGACTAAAATAGATAATAGTAACTTTCTTTTAATTTTTTTTTGTTAATTCTTTCGTAACATTTTCAATTACTTTATTTTAAACGAATTTTACTAATAAAATTTGTCTATCTCTCAATCGTTTGATCTTCTTATTTGTAATTTGTATAAAAATTATTACAAATATATAGTTATTGTGTTAATTGTATTGTATAATATTATTACATGAGAAAGATGAAAAATATATTTTCTTAATTGAGATACATAAAACACATCGTGAAGATTAGAAAGAAAATGAGGTAAAAAAATTGATTATCAATGAAACTATTTTTTTTTTAGAATTTGATAAAGACCAACAAATCGGAGAGAAAGTTTATTTTATTTCATTATTCTACCAATTTCATTTGTTGGTGTGACTTTCAATAATACATTATCACCTTCTTGGAATTCAAGGAGTTGCATCTTATTGTCAACATAAATTTTGTCTACACTAAGTTACTCTCAATTTTCCATCATCTTTATTTTTTTGTGGTATGTTGAATAATGTCAAGACCTAAAATTAAATTTTCTCTAGTCTCAAACTAACATAAAAGTGTTTTACATTTTCTATCATACAATGTCTTATAGGGTGTCATACCTATGTTAAAGTAGAAATTATTGTTGTAAATGAATTCAATCAAAAACAAGTATTGATCCCAATGATTATACTCTAGCACACAAGCTCTAATAAAACTTCCAAAGAATGTATGATTCTTGCTAACTGACCATTTGTTTAAGGATGATAACTTGAGCTAAGATGAAGTTTAATCCCTAAGACATGGTGTAAACTCCCCCAAAATTTCGATGTAAACCTAGGATTCCTATCAGATACAATACTAGATGAAACTTCATGCAACCTCACAATTTCTCTTATATATAATTCAGTTGACTTTTCCAATGAATATCTAATGTTAATGGGTAAGAAGTGAGCAAACTTTGTTAATATATCCTTGATAACCCATATTAAATCAAACTTTTGAATTATTCGTGGTAATCTAACTATAAAATTCATCATTATATTATCGTATTTCCATTCAAGTATATATAAAGATTGTAGCATTCTTGTTGGTTTTTTGTGTTATATCTTAGCATTTTAACAAACTACATATTGTGCTACTTTCTTCTTCATATTAAGTTACCAGAACATGTTCTTAATTTTTGTTGCTTCTAAATATATGTTCAATTTGCTCTTATGTGTTTCTAAAATCATCATCTTAATTTCTACATCATTAGGCACACATCCTATCATTAAATCTCAAAATTCATGCTCTATCTATGCGAAAATTTTCTCCATTATTTTGTCTTATCAACTTCATTTTCTTTTGAATGAATCCATCACTTACTTAAGTCTCATGGATTTGTTTTCATAAATTACTAGTAATTTGAATTGAGTTTAATTTCATTCTATCAAAGTTCAATGTAATCGAAAAATTCATGTCTTTGAATTTTTCTAATAAACTCATTTCATGACTCATCAATGATGAGACATATAAGGATTTTCTACTTAAAGTGTCACCCACTACATTCGTCTTTTCTGGGTGGTAGTGTAATTCAAAATCATAT